TTAAAAATATGCAATTTCAAAACAATGTTGTAAACATAGACATAGACATCACTGTATTCATCCAAAAATTTGGAGATTTACAACTTCGTATTTGAAAATACAAGAATAAAATAAAATATATATTTCATTAATGAACTACCATAATATAAACCCAATGGAAAACGTAATTTTGTCTAAATACCCGATAATCCTATTTTCGGACGGGTTAGGGAAAACGTATTTATGGTTTTAATCACTTCTAGTATTACTGTGAATGTGTAAATTGACAAGAACTTAAAAAATACTTTAATGTTGTTAAGGGGTGACCCACAAATTTGCCGCAGGGTGCCCGAAGGGTGGGTCCATGCACATTGGTCGCCTAAACTCTTGGTCGAGGAGAGTTTTATGGCTAAGTGTGGCCCAATATTGTGCTTTAAACTAAACTTTTGGGGATTGGTAATCAAAACACCATTATTTAGATAGGCAAATTATTATCTTTGGTCTGACAACCTCGTCGTGACATCGGACGGTAGGCGTCTAGGCCTGTCAGTCGGGAAATTTCCCCCTATTACCAACCACCAGTTGGCGCTAACAACCAAGTTAATCTTTCTTACATTTTTTTCATCATCATTATTATAATTAGGCCTAAATTATTATGATACTATATATTATCGATAGGCCTATATTTTATTATTCTTATTATTTTAAATTATTGTTTAATATTAAAATATTAGTGTTAGTACTGTTATTATTATTATTATTATTATTATTATTATTATTATTATTATTATTATTATTATTATATTACCACTATACTGAAGTCATTATTGTTATTAACCATCATCACTTTAATCCAATCCTCGTCATCATCATCAATTATCATCCCCATATCATCATAATCCTCATCATGGAGAGAATGCTTGATTAAAAAGACGAGATGTGATGAGGAGAATGAAGATGATAATGATGATGAGAAGAAAAATAATGAGGTAGATTATTATGAGGATGATTATGAAGAGGATTATGGTGGTGATAATGATGATCATCAATCGTCAATATTCATCATTAACATCATCCTTATTCTCTTCATCATCATTCTCGTCATAATTCAACCTCAAAACCCTCATCCTCCTCTTCATCATCATAATCATTCTCATCTTCATCATCATTACCATCATCCTCATTGTTGTCAATGTGATCATCCTCATCACTGTAACCCCCTCCATCATTATCATCATCATCATCATGTTTTTTATTTATCACCAACATCCTCATCCTTCTCATCATCCATTATTAATTATTATCATCATCATCATCATCATCATCCTTATTCTCCTCCTCATCATTCTCATGATGAGAATGATGGCAATGAGTATAACCATAATGATGAAGATGAAGATGAGGCGAGAATGGAGATAAAAACGAAGATGAGGAGGATGATTCACAATATCATCATCAATTATCCTCATCAGAGTATCTCCATCATCCTCATCAACAAATATATTAATAATAATTATTATTATTATCATCAACCTAATCAGCCTCATCAACCTAGTCATTATAATCATCATTATCATAATCGTCCTCTTCATCATCGTCATCAATCATTATCATCCCCTTCATTATAATCTACCTCATTATCTTCCTTCTTCTCATCATCATCCTTATCCTTTTCATCTTCCTGCCTCATCATCAACATCCTAATCATCCTCATCAGCATCTTTATCATGATCTATCTTTAAAAAGTAAACAGTATTTTCAATATATATAAAAAAAAGTCATATTAAGAAAAAGCAGATAAAAAAGGATAAAACAAGAGAAATTTCATTGTCGGAGATTGATCAAAATTTATTTATTTATTCATTTGTTTGATTATTTATTTATTTATTGATTCATTCATTATAAAAAATAAGATTTTTTGTTACTTATTTTGGATGGGTTACTACTTGAGATGGACTTCTTTTCGAGTCTACTTTTGCAACTTTAATAGGGAGGCTTCATTTCAGATGGATATTTTTGTGAAATAAATAGAAATTATATAATTCAGATTTAGTAATTTGTTAATTTAGGCACAATGCACTGTACCACAATATAAAATGTAGAGTAACTAAACATAAAGCTATCCTTAAACTTGAACTCTTTTTTATTAGGAAAACACAGGCCCTACACAAAATAAAAACGATCGTAGTACTGTTTTAAGCCTATTAAGGCACAAACGTAACTTTAGCAATTTCTCAAGAGTGCGCAGATGTTGTTTAGTTTGTAGCTAATTGATTCTATTTGAAATTTAGTTAGAAGGTTGTTGATAAATCAGTGAAGGGAATTATCGGATATTAAAGCAAACAATTCTGAAAGTACTGGAAGTTTGTGCAAACTTTAGTTTTAATTACCCAATAATTATACTTAAATAATGCACCATTATCAGTGACTTGTGTGTACGTATGGTTATGGATTCGACTTATCTGTGTACATTTGATAAATTCTAGGTAAAGTAAGTCCATCCTGTATATTGACATATTTTTATCGCAGTTTTATGGCCGTAACTAGGCGTCTTACATATTTATGTGACAAATGATGTGTATTATGTCAATTTCTATGTCTGCAATCAAGTAGCCAGGCGTTCAGATTCCCAACATCGATTATATAAATAGGCCTACCAGTATCTTTTTTCTACAGAGCAGTTTGTTAACGGTTATTTACAAGATGTGTATAATCTTCTCCTAGGATGAAACTGAAAAAGGTAAGACCAGTTTGATATATTTGTTATACACAGATACAAAATGTTACAATTTACTGAGGTATATGTCTAGTATTGCATGTCTAGTATTGCAGTCAATACCCTAACATACCCACTAGCCTAGTATTGATGATAGAATTTAAATAAATTGAAAGACGTTGAAATTGTATTGGAGGCTATATCTCACGATATCATTGCATTGTCTGAGACATGGCTTAACAATGGAATTAATAGCTCAGAAATATTCCCAAATTACTATACTGTTTTTCACAACTATCAAGAACCTAAAGGAGGTCGTGTTGCAATTGCAATTAAAAATCACCATATTGTCCAAGACAATTGAACATTTAATTTTTAATCATTTATACACCTTTTTTTTAAACACAAATCTACATTTTATCATGTTATCAGTTTGGCTTTCGTAAAGGATATTCATGTCCAAGCCTGTTGTCCCAGGTATGGGCTAAGGTACTTGATGACCCTAAACCATTTAATATTCACTCTAAATTTCTTGACTGGAGTAGAGAGTTTGACCACGTATCTCACCATACGCTTATGAGTAAACTACACCAAGTCGACGTTTGTGAGCAATTATGGCATTGGATCAAAAGTTTTCTTTATGGCCGCACCCAATGTGTACGCTTTAACAGATGCGTTTCTGATTTTGTCCGAGTAATTTCTGGTGTACCACCAGGTTAAATTTTATGTTCTCTTTTGTTTCTGCTATTTATAAAAATGATATTATGTCTCAAAAATCACCAGGTACATACACTATGTGCCTTTATGCTGACGACACCTTTTTTACAAATCACTTATAACCCCCCCCCCCGCTCCACCCCATGAATATTCTATACTTCAATGATCTCGAAAAATTATGGATTGGCATACTCCATTTTTCGTCGTTAGCAGAACTGGTCCATAGCACCCGATTTTTTAACTCGGGTAATAAATCTCGCTAGTTTGTTGAAGATCTTTGGGTTTTTTTAATTTATTTATTGCCACTGAAGCCCATGAGATTACCTTTTAGAAGTGAGTGATTGTAATTGGTTGCTTTGTTTACATTTCGACGGCTATAATGTCACTAGCCAACCATTTTTTAGGACTCTCTTGTTTACTCTCAATGGACATTCTTAGAACCAATTAAGTTAAGTTTATGGAGCTGCTGACAGCTCCCTCTGGACCATCTGACAACTCACTCTCAGGCATCTGACAGCTCACTGTGGACCATTTATGCTAACGGGAACTTTAGCCTCATGGGAGTAACCAGAATAAATAATAGATTTTAAAACAAGACAAATGCAAGGTTATGTGCGTAACTAGACGCAGGTCATACACCCAAGCTATTTTATTAATGACTTTTTCTTATCATGTGTATCTTCCCATAAATATCTTGGGGTCATCCTCTCCGCCAATCTGAAATGGCATAATCATATTCAAAAACTTACCCCAAAAAACTCATTACTTTATAAAGTAACGTACATGCAATCGCCATCCGTTTTCTTTAGTTTTATTTAACTCACTCGTACGTAGAATACTCTTTGGGATTCTGGAATCCACATATCTTCAAACTAACATTTCACAAACCGAGTCAATCAACTCTGGTAGATATCCCAACAACCCTCACTATATTGAATATAAAGACACATTTGATAACCTACAACTAAAAGCAATAGAACAAAGATTTTTTTTGCCTTATTTTCTTATACAAAATTATTAATGGTATTATTAAAATTAATTCACTTAGGTATATTTCATTTAATACAGGTTGACCTCATCCCACACTCCCCCACCCCTTTGCTCGATGCAATGCACTCCACTGTTCACTCTTTTATCATATTCCAATCATCTGCAACATACTTCCAATTGCTTATCCTCTTCCGTCTCTTCTTTTAAAACTGCCATCGACCACCTGCGTTAAGCAACTTGAATTTAAATGGTGCGGCCGTCTTTAACAAGAATGATTTGAATCATGGGCCCGGGTATCATCGACTCCTAATTAATGAATCATCGCGATACATCACAACATTCTCGATCCACAAAGGCTTGTACAGGTATAAAAGGTTAGGCTTTGAAATAAATGCAGCGGCAGAGAAGTTTTAAAACCTGATAGCGTCCACAATAGCTGATATTTAGAATGTAAACAACATTAGTGATGACATAGTTGTGTATGGTATAGATATGGCGAGTCACAACGTAGCATTGGACAAAGAAATTCGAAAGTTTTGAACTTAACTTTGAACAAAAAAAATGTGAATTTTACATGAATAATATTGAATTATTTGGAATGGTGTTCAGTGAAAATGGTATGACACTCGATCCCAACAAGGTCGATGTAATTCAGTGTGCAAAATCACCGGAGAGTGCGAGTGAATGTCGTAGTCTACTAGGCATTAGGAACTTTGTTTCTGGTTTCTTCTCAGCGTATGCAGAGTTAGTTGCACCTGTGTTAAAGCCCATAAAGAAAAAATGCTGTATTTGAGTGGAGAGAAGCGTTCGATGAGTTGAAAGTTCGATTTCAAACACTTATGTCTTATTTCAGTCCAAATAATACCAAAACTGTATTTTTGATGCAATTCCACGTGCATTAGGTGTCGTGCTTACACAAGAAGGTCACGTTGTTGCATATGGCAGTAAAACCATGTCCGAAGTGGAAACGCGTTATTCGCAAATTGAATGCGAAACTTTGGTGATCGCATGGGCGTGTGGACATTTTTGTATGTTTGATGTGCTTGGTAAGCAGTTCGCAATTTCCACAGATCATAAACCACTGTTGACAATATTCATTAAGGCGAAATCAGAAGCATCGACCAGAATCGAGAATTGGAGACTTTGACTTCAGTGTTTTAACTATCATAGGCGGATTCAAGGGGGCCCAGCCGGCCTGCTACACCCCCTCCCCTTGCCCTACATTTGTCAAAATAAAAAAAAAATAAGAAAAAAAGAAATTTCGACTAAAATTTTGAGTCTACGAGTGCCATTTCCGGCCATCTAGAGGTGCCATAATCATAAATGTTCTTAACAGGTGGAGGGTCTATAAGTCCCTCTCCGGGCTCACTCTATTTCAAATTTCTGGATCCGCCACTGACTTTGAAGTGTATTATGAAAGAGGAAAATCCTGCTGACTATGTGTCTAGATATGTAGAGGTACATTATATTAATAACATTGATGACTTTGTAAGCTGTTGATGTGACCGTCAGGCTGTATATACACTTAACGCGTCTATGCCAGTAGCATTTATACATCGATGATGTAGTGAAAGCGACAAGTGCAGATAACGTATTACAAACCGTCAAACAAGCTGTACTGACACAGTCGCATGGTACATGAGCTGATGACAGAGTGAAGAGTTTTGCTGCAATTCACGACAAATTAACACTTGTCAATGATATAATACTATGCGGTCATTGAATCGTTATTCCACAATCGCTTACAGATCGTGTTGTTGCATTAGCGCACGAGGATCATCGTGGTTTCAAAGGCTTATTAAATCGATATTAGAG